CTAATTGAGACATCTGTGTGCGTGCGTCTGCCATCGTTTGTTTTGGCCACTGTGCGTGCTGTGCCTGTGTTTGTGTGTGTGCTTGTGTGTTTGTCTTCAATCAGCGCTTGAGTTGGCAACATGTTGTTGTTTTTACGGCCTACTTTGTTGGGCGCTTGTTGCCCAACTTCGTCTGACTTTCGGCTAAAAATATTTAACTCACATTGCTCGTTGGACGAAACACTAAATACACACTCTGCGTCTCTGTGTCTGAAATTGTCAAATATAACACAGGAAAATCTTTCTCTCTCTGGCTTTCCCCGCCGCCCAGTCGGTCCAAAAATAATGCCCGGAGTTCCAGGAGCTGCTTTGTTTGCGCTCCGCTTTTATCATTTAATTTTGGCTGCTTTAGCCGGGGTTCGTGCCCAAAACGAAATCAATAAAACCGCCGAGAGTCCACGTGTCCGAGCCACGAGCGGTTCGCATTTACGGATTTTCACTGCCCCCAAAACGAACGAAACGAACTCCCTCTGCAGTTTATAAAATTCAAATGGAAATGACATTTATTAGAAACCCGATGGCTGATCAATGGATTAGATATCGCCATCATTATTACTGCCATTAAACAGCCACATTTAACGCTGATTAAAGCGGCCACTCGGCGAATGAAAGATGATGGTGAAATATTGCCTTTAATTCGATACCCACTCGTCAGAGCCTGCATATTTTATGGAATATATTAAATTAATTTTATTCATAATGCTTACACAAAGCAGGCATACACTCAAAATAAAATTAACCCTAAAGTCAAGGAAATCGCCCTTTTGTCTTCAAGACAAGCTCGCCCTAAATTTTAGGGTCACATTTTTCTATATTTTTGATTTTTTTTGACGTCATATTTCTAAATTTTAGGGTAATTTTACTAAATTTAAGGGCAAAAATTTCTAAAAAATAGGAAATTTTCCTAAAAAATAGAAATTGAAAACAAAACAAAAAAACATGTTCAATCATGATTTTTTTTTGTATATATGTTTATATTATGTCCCTATATACATACATATGCAGGCGTTGTGTGTCTTGTATATTGTGAATGTTAAAGGTTATGTATTTATTATTATGTATTTGCGCTTGGATTTCTTATCTAACCAAAGCCAAATGTGGTTGTAAATGTGGACTACGGGACTGCGGAAGATTGGGAAATGTAGAAATTATGATTAGTTAATATTTTATCTTCATGAAAAAAACTTACATTTTTACTTGTCCGTCGTGAGAATCGAACCCGGGTCTCCCGCGCGAGGAGCGAACGGCCTACATACTGGGCCATTGTAGCACTTAAACTTGCTGTGGCAAACCGAGCATTGTATGTAAAGGGTCAAGCGGAGAACACATTTGAATACTAATTGCATAATTTTGACCATTCGCGTCTTACTTATTTACATACATACATACATACATATGTATATATTTATGCTATCGCAATTTATATTATGTGTAGTATATAGTAAATAGCTGAATATAAACCAAATTATTTTCGGTTTACCGCTTGCCATCAATAAAAAAAGGAATAAAAAAAGGAGTAAAAAAAAAACAAATTAAAAAAATAAAATAAAAAAAACTTAAAAAAACTAAAAAAAACTTTAAAAAAAAGGTAAAAAATAGTTTGCTCTGGGACTCGAACCAGGGTCGATTCGAATTCTAACCAAGCGCTTTAACCGTCTGCGCTACGAGTACAGCCGCCCGGCAGCTGACAAGTTCTGGCATTGAACATTTTGGTGTGCCAGAGCATGTGAAAACATCTATTTCTATTTTTAGAAAAACTTTCTACTTTTTAGAAAATGTTTCTATTATTTAGGGTTAGCTTAATTTTAGGGTTAGGGCACTCATTTTAAGAAAAGGTGTTGCCAAAATATTTTATTATTTTCGTTTGCCTTTCTATTTTTAAGAAAATAATTTCTAATTTTAAGGGCATTTTTTCTAGATTTTAGGGTGATTTTAGTTCATGGTAACCATTTTCTACATTTAAGAAAAACTTCCTGGATTTAAGGAAAACTTTCTTGACTTAAGAAAAATTTCCTTAGATTTAGAAATAACTTTCTTGTATTTAGAAAAAAGAAATTTTAATGGCGATTTTCTAAAATTTAGGGTTAAATTTATTTTGAGTGTATGATTTGATTTATTACCATCGCGTAAGGTTTTAATTAACTTGATTTTGCTTTCGATTTAATGCATGGTGGAATTTTACAAACCATAATTAAATGAAAAGCAAATACGGTCTATTTCACTTGCGGTCCATTTATTTATTTGGTTTTACGCATTCAAATTTGATTTTTCTATTTGCTTGCAGGGCAATTAATTTTGTAATTAAATGTACATATGGACATAAATAATTAGAATAATAATGTAAAAGTATTCATATAAACGTAATAAAAAATAATGGGGAAAAAAAAGTTTATTTTTAATAAGTTTTTTTAATGTCGAAGAAAAACTGCATTTGCTGATTTGTATTTACATTTGTAAACGTAATAATGCAAACATATTATTATTTACAATATTTATTTACAACATTACAAATACGAGAACACAATAAAAACCACATAATTTACCTGAAACAAATTCCATGAAAATAAAAAGTAACTCGGCCAAAACGTATTTTGGTATAAATTTGTTTCCGAAAATGGTTCGTTAGCGGACTTAACCCACTAGAAAATTCCAAAGGCTCGTAGATTGCAAATAGAATGCCATAAAAGCAAACCGCATCCATTCGCCATGCTTAACGGTCTTAAATATTTAAGCTTGTTTGCCCTCAATTGTAAAATGCTGACCTAGAAAGTTGCCCCTGCCAATAGTCTTCCGCCGGACTTCGTCCTATGTCCTTCGTCCTCCGTATTCCGTCCGCCGTATTCCATCCGCCGTATTCTGTCAGCCGTCATCAGTCCGTGTCCGGTGTCGCCAGTCCCTCGTTTGTCCGCCAGTCCCTCGCTTGTCGGCCAGTCCATCTGTTTGTCGGTGGATACTTTGTTCTCGGTGGCATAGTCTATATAGCCGCCCGTTAAGCACACAATGCGGTCCGGCTTCTGGGCTCTCATACTTTATTTATTTACCATCAACACAATTTATTTAGGGAAAAAATTTCACGCAACATTGCAAAGGTCCTGGGCGAGTGAACGTTTTCCACTAAATAGTTTTACGTTTCGCTCGAAATTTATGTAGCCTCGTTGGCTCGTCGAAAGTCCTCTCGCTTCCTCCAGAAAGTAAGATGTCTCAAGTCAATTTGTCGGCTTCCCTCTGAGCTTCGGGGCGAGCATCTTGCCGAAAATGTTTACTTGCATTGAATAATTCAGTTGGCAAAGAATGTACACCAAAGAGCAGACAGGCCCCGGGGGTAAAAGTCGTCGGAAAAGCCGGAAAAGTCGTCGAGGGCAAGCTGTGAGTGCAGTCAGAATGCGAGATATGTTCCAGACACTTTGACACATGTTTGCCAAGTCAAATTGCATTAGGCTTCCATTTGGGCAATTGCCATTGCCGAATAGTCATGCAAAAATGCCTTCCCTGTGGCTGTCGCTATTTTCAGTAATTAATAAAGAGTGATTACGGCGTAAGCGCATTTCCATGAATTTCTAAAAAGTTGCCGCCAACAATCACACGCTCTTCTACGTTTTCATGCGGAATGAATGGTCGGGGCCAAACTCATTTAACTTTTTAATTGTGCAGTTTTGTGTAAAGCAGCCAAAAGAATGCCATGGCGTAGGAAAATTTATTTTTACAGAATTTTTTTAAATTTCACAGAAACTTGAATGCTCTATTTTTAAAAATAATAATTTTGATATATAAATAAATAAAAATATAAATAATTTTCCCCTTTCTTATTTCATTTCCAAATTTTGTATATTGCTTAAACATTTTAAAATATTTTTTAAATTTTAAATAAAATTATTATTTAAAGGTTCACATCATTCCGAGTATATCCTTTCCCAATTATTTTTTTAAATTATTCAATCCGATTGCGGGCAGCTTATGGTGCAGTAAAGACTTACAAACGAATCCCGCCAACTCTTTACTCAATTAAGTACCTTGTCGGTGAAAATAATGAAATTGATAGCTTAAATATAAGTACGTAATCGTTTTTATAGACTCATTAAAGTTTCTTTAAATTCATGATGCCGTACAAAAGCATTGTATATTGTGCTAAACATAAATAACAAAATTAAATGATAACAGTGAGTAATTTTAGTTTAATTAAAATAAATATTTTCTGAAGAGCAGAGCAAAAATAAAACGAAGTCCGTTTAAAATGGTTGAACAAATAAATAGAAAATTTAGTTTTATTCAATTTGTTATTGATTGTCAGTTATCTTTTGTGTTTGACTAAGCTTTTCAAGCGCACACAAATGCAGTTTATTCGTATAAATATACCAAAATTATCCTTGCTAATTAGAGAGCGGTGGACATTCCTGCGAAATATTTTGCAATTATAAAACTAATGCTCTCCCCTTGGCTAGTGGAAATAAATTACGAATAGAATTAACCCACCTTGACTGGCCGACCCACCTGAAAATTTAAACTCTCCCTTTGCCGGGAGTTAATGAGTGTATAAATTGAGCACAAAAGCCAAGCGAAGGCAATAAGCGCATTAATTGCCAGTGCAAAAGTACGGGGATAAATGGTCGCCTGGGCAACGAGGCGTATGAGCGATGTCAAGTGGCCGCAATTAAAGTGAAATTTGCCTTTCTCTGACGGTCTTTTCTCCTTTTGTTCCAGGAAGCTCAGAAGCAGAGGCATAAGGACAAGCACCGTCTGGAGAAGAGCACTACTCCTGGTTCCCTTTTTAGACATCAAAGACGGCAACAACGGCGGCCAGAATTTTCTCACGTTTGGATAGTGTCGAGGAGGTGCAACGCGGTCGCAGTGGCAGCGCTGTGGGAATAACGCCCCCGGGCGGACCAGGAGCGGTATCTGCCGGAGTGGGCGTAGGATCTGGATCTGGAGCGGGAACGGTGGCAGCGGCAGTGGTGGCAACGGGTTCACCGGCCAGGAGTGGCCAGCAGCAGTTTGTCGGAGCGGGCGGGGGCGTCGGCGGTGTGGCGGGAGCGGCTGCGGCTGTGGGCGTGCCAGGTGGTGCGGGAGGCGTGGCAGCGGTGCGACAGCGGAGCGCCAGCACGGTGCTCGACATTAATTTGCCACAGCGCAAGGTGTCCGTAGGAGGCGGCGTTGGCGGCGGCATTGGCTTGGCAGGACCTCCATCTCCGGTTATTCGCAATGGGTTCAGTGTCTATGATCCGCCGGTGATTCAGCAGTCGGTGATTCCCAGTCGGCACGCCAACTTTAATGGCCAGGGTTTGGGTGGAGGAGGCGTGGGAATAGCGGCCACTAATCGCGGACGACTGTCCATCAGCGCAGCAGGTGGACCACTCATCGCATCAGCATCATCATCATCAGCGCCATCACAGGCATCAGGAGCAGGAGGAGTAGGATTAGGAGGAGGCGGTGGAGCAGGTGCAACGACAGCGGGTGCAAGTGCAGGTGCAGTTTCCGGTTCCTCCCTCGGGGAGCCAGCGGGCGGAAGTGGATCGGCGCCGACCATCGGCGGCACCGCCCCCATCCAGCCGGGGCCCAAGCGTCAGGGCAGCTTCTCGAATGTCTTCTCAAAGCTAATCGATGGTATGCCCGCCGGCACAATGTTCGCCAAATTCAAGAGCACCAACGTGGCCGCCTCCACAGCCACGCAGAGCGTCGCCGATGGCAATCCCATTACGCAGTACTTCGAAATCGGCAAGCCGGTGGCCTGTGCCGGCCCAGAGTTGGTTTGGCGCATCCATGATGCATACCGCAAGAGCGACAACAAGGTGAGTGCGGTGAGGCTGCGGCCGACCCAAGGGCTTTGGGGCAAAATGAAAGAGATATTTCTCTTAAAGGTGAAAAAGTACTTTTGAATATCTATCGACTTTACTAGGAACTGATTTCAAAGCAATTTGTATAATAAAACTTTAATTTAACTTCTCAAAGTAAATAAATTGACTAAAGTAATAAAACAGAGGTGAATAATTATAATGAAGCCTATCTAAAATCCATAAATTAAACGACATCTTTATAAAGGTTATATAATCCGTTTTTAAGCAGAAACTATAACATTTTTATTAAGGAAGCCGTTTTTCTATTAATAAAGCAAATTTTAATATTTAGATTAATACTTTGATCCCTGCTTTAGCAGTACATTTTTGTGATGATTTAATTTATTTAATTTTTATATAGAATTCTTGTTTTTCATCGTAAATTGTTTATGTTTGCTTTTAACATAACTTTTCCATATTTATTTTTAATATTTTAATTTATTTTATTTTATAGTCAATAACTTTTAACGTTTTTGTTAACTTTTTTTTTAGCCTAACTGTTTCATATTAAAAATTAGTTAAAAGTACATTAAAAGAAATAACTAACATTAAAAAAAATAGGATAGAAAAAAAGTATAAATAATTTTAACTCAAATTTAAGAACTTTTCTTGCAAGGATGTAATAAGCCTCGTTCTTTCAACTCTTTTCTTAACGTAATTGCTTCTCCGTTTCGCAGGAATGTTCGGTGTTTATATTCGAGAAGAAAATTGCGGAGAAGCTGCACAAACCGCGACGCAAGGAGACCATAACGGAGCTGCTAAAGAGTTCGGTGAAGACACTGGAGCGCTTCCGCCATCCGCGGGTGAGTCTGTCCCGGCCCCCAATCGATAATTACTTTTCCGTAAGACCCCCCGCTTGGGTTTTTCACCCTTCCGTTTGCCCCGCAGATACTGCAAATCTATCACACGGTCGAGGAGAGTGCGGATACACTGGCCTTCGCCTCCGAGCCCATCTTCGCCAGCCTCTCGAATGTGCTGGCCTTTCACGTGAGTTTTGGCCACAGTTTTAGTTGCCATTTGCGAGATGCAAGTTGCAAGTTGCTAGTTTGCCTGGCTGACAGCGACACGAACCTGCAATTTGTGTTGTCGCCTGGTTGCCTTTCAGTCCCATATTGGTTACGGCTTTTTCTGCCCCTTTACGCTTTTCCCTCCTCGGACACAGAACAAAATTGGTAGAAAATTAAAATACTTAGAAATTAAATGTTTTGATTTTTTAAACATTTTATCAATTAAAAATTTGTTTTTTGATTGTAATAATATTTTTTGTAATGGTGTATGATAGTGCTGTGTTTTTAAGGACCAAAAAACCTTGATATACAGTTCTCTTAAATTTTTTAAAAAATTGTTTATTTGAATAGATAAAAATCTAAAAATTTTATAAAAATTGGTTTTAAACTTTTAGAGTTCTTTCAAATTTAAGCTGACGACTCAAACTTTTTTTTAAGTTTTATAACAATTTGGTTATATTTTTGTCGGTGCAAATTCACGTTTACTACTGTTTCATCTACCATTTCCCAGGTACTGCGGAACAATGTTTAGACTGTTGGGTTGATTGTGGCACTGTTTTTGGTGTTGCTGCTGTGTTTTGTTAAAGTTTTGCAGGCCAGCCAAGTGCATAGTTTGACTTTGAGCACAATGGCGAATGGGCGTGCAGGGGGCGTGGCTGTTGGCTAGTGGCTGGTGGCTAGTAGAAGCTAACAACTGATGGGTATGCATGACAGAAACACAAACGCCAGCTCTCGCACACAACTATATGTATGTCTGTATGTGTTTACGAATATGTGTTTGTGTGTGTGGGGAAAGTTTACGCTGCCAAGATTGAGTCAATAAAGAGCTTCAGTTGGTCCGCACAGCTCAGAAATTGATACGCACACACATGCACAGTGCGTGTCGCAACTTAAAGGTGGTTTTAGCCAGGATATTGGATTATATTAGTTACTTAACTCAAATTAATTTGGGGATATAAGCAAAAACTTGAACGTTGAACTCACAAAATGGAGTTGACGCGGAAAAGATTTTTAGTAAATTTAAGTTACTGTCTTAAACGAATTTGTGTTGAGAAACCTGTTGTATAGGTCTTCTAAGGACTTTTTGCTTTAATAATCACTAACTATATAATTTGACAAATTTCTATTTAATTCAAAATTAAAATTATCGGCTCCACATTCCTAGAAAGTGAAAGTAATCCCCTAGAGTAACGAAACGTACTGCACCTCTTCTGTTTAAGACCACACAGAAACAACAACAGCACTTATACCCACATAAACAGCTCAACAATAACCGAGCGAACAGAGAACCTCCTGAATAGTTTTTAGTTTCCCTGAAAGTCGATTCGAGTTAAATTACATTGAAAATTGCAAAAAGGTAAAACTCAAAGCACTCACATGCACACACAAAACAAACGAAAAATTGGAAAAGGAAAAGCTATGGGAAAAACAAAAAGCCAGGGTCGCACCAACAGCAGAAACACGAGAGATTTGAATGGCTTATCATCAAATGCAATGCTCTGAATGGGAATTTTAGAGCCATGAGCTGGAAGTAGCTTGCCATCCGAGCCCAGGGTGAAACAAATTTAAGGCCACCCAGCCAGCTCGGTGCGGGATTAGGCCCTAACTCTTTATTACCTGTCCCGTACACAGACAAATTCGAAAGGGGCTTTCAACTTTATATTCCGTCGGTCAAAATCATTTGAAGCCTGTATTTAAATATTTATTTATTTAGTTCATAGTGGTTTCACATAAAAAATCACATGTTTAAATATTTTAATTATTTTTATGGCCAATATTAGTACTTACTATTGAGGTTTATGTTTATATTATATTAAGGTAATATTGTACCACTATATGTATATATAAATATGTATTTTTCGCCGTGTTAAAATATTGGATTTATAATTTTTTAATGTCGTTCTTTTGTTTGATAGTAAAGTAAATATATCTGTACAATTTCAGAACAAAACACAGTATGTTTAAGAGCTGAAAGATATTCAAATCTAAAGATGAAAATATTCTAGAAAGGCTATCAAAATATTTGTTTAATTTCAAATTCTCATAACTCAATTTATTTATTTTAAAAACATATTATTATTGGCTATGAAAAATTGTTTTTTTGTTATTGTGTAGGAGTCGAAGACCTACGAGACTCCCAACATGACGCCAGCGGCGAGCGGAGCGGCAGCGGCCCAGGCCCAAGCGGCGGCAAACACCTTGCCCCAGCGACCGGCCCATGCCAAGGAATACAATTTCTTGGACATGGAGCTGAAGTACGGCTTTCTCCAGGTGAGTGGCAGGCTGGCAGGTAACTGTTTTCTGGACAGGCACCGTGACCCGACTGCTCTTTTTTTCCAGCTGACCGAGGCACTGGCGTATCTTCACTATTCCGGTCACGTAATTCATCGCAATGTGTGTCCATCTTCTATACTAATAACCAAGCGCGGTATCTGGAAGCTGGCCGGCATGGAATATGTGGGTGAGTGTGGTCTTGGCTTGGGAGTCCAAAAAATTGAAATGGATTGGCCAGGTCAGCAATTTGTATTCATATTCGCATATTCGGATTGCAGAGAGAATGAACGAGAACGATTTGAACAGCTCCATTCCGTGTCCACCGTGGAGCAACCGGGTGTCCAAGATGGCCCAGCCAAATCTCGACTTTATGGGTGAGTAAATTCAGATTGGTCACATCCCATTGCCCTCTTTACTCTCTGTGAAAAAGTCAACAAGAGTGAACATCATCCATTTGGGACTACACAAATGATATATTATCATAAAAATGCTTATTTAAGATGAAGACGCTTATAGTCATAAAGTGGTAGGCAATCGATGAAATTTTCAATAGTAAATAGAACTGAAAGACCTTATAATTAATAAGAACACTTTTAATTAAATAGTTTATATTACCGAACTGGATACGAAAAACAAGAATTTAAGAAAGAACATTATAGAAATAACACCAAAAAAATAAAATTACTTCCATTTTAAAATAATAATTAAAATAAATATTTTGAAATGATCTTATAAGATTATAAGATTCTTTTGAGCAAGATTATTCCAAGTAATTATTTTATTCAGAAGGATAGGATAATTTCTTCATTTTCAATAATCAATAAAATAAAAATAAATCAATAAAATATACCTAAAAAATTAAAAAAAAAATTTAATGACCTTCTATCTTATTGTATTTTTTTAAAATTTTCCTTCATTAGCTCCCGAAACTCAGTCAACGTCCAAATGCAGCCTACTCAGCGACATGTTCTCGCTGGGGATGGTGATCTGTGCGGTCTTCAACAACGGAAGGCCGCTGATACAGGCCGGCAACTCCACCTCCAACTATGCCAAGCAAATGGAATCGGTGGGTAAACAATTTCTAATTTCTGAATGCCGGGGAAACTGGAAAACTGGGCGCTTGGGGGACGCGACAAGTGCCAATTGGATGGATGAAAAGTTTTGAGCCGAAGCTAAACGCTTGGATGGGCTTGTTTGCGCGCTGTAATTAGATTCGCAGCTTTGTCAAATGCAAATGTAATCAAAAAGTCCACTTGAAACTCTAATTATTTTGCCACTTGTGCGGACAGGTGACGGAGTAGCAACAGAAGCAGAAACAGCACAAGCAGCTATCCCTCGGGCGCTTGTCATTAAAACTTTTCGTCCTTTCCTGGGCATTGGACGTTGCTTCCGAAGTCCCCAAGTGGTTTCTAATGTTGTGGCAAAGTTTG